CTCTGCTGCAGGCGCCCCCGCCTCAGCTCGTCCTCCACGTGGGGAGAAGAGAGGTGGCAAGCGTCAGGGCTCCCTGAACCCCGCGGCGGCCGTCCCCACCCCACGCATTGAGTCGGGGGCGGCCAGGTGGCGCTGTCTGAGCAGGCAGCTCGCCAGAGCAGGCCTGGTATCCCCCAGGCTTATTTGTGGCCGAGTCAGACTGGCTGTGGTTGAGTTCTCTCCAGGGGCCAGGAGGAAAGGTGATGCCCGCCAGAGACCTAGGGTCCTGGCGGCTGGAGGTCAGCCACGGGGCAGATGGGCGGAGTTGTGCTCAGATGTCCGCATGCCTGTTTCTTTTGCACAGAGGAGTCCTCTGGTGCGTCCCTGCCCACCATGGCCAAACCAACAAGCAAAGATTCAGGCTTGAAGGAGAAGTTCAAGATTCTGTTGGGACTGGGAACGCCAAGGCCAAATCCCAGGTCTGCCGAGGGCAAACAGACGGAGTTTATCATCACGGCGGACATCCTGAGGGTGAGTGAACTGCCTGTGTCTTGTCAGCCCAGTGAGGAGTGCAGGGAAGGCTGGGTTTGTTCTTTGTCCAGGTTCTATGGGAGATGGGTTGCTGGTGATTGTCTGCACAGGGATATTGTCCCCAGTACTTTGGAGGTGGATCTGGCCTTTCTCGGAAGACTCAGAAAGGCAGGATCTTGGTCACCTGGTCTATCTAGCACATGAGTTACACGAGCTAGTATTCAGATGTTGATGCAAGAAAGCCCATTTCACTAGATGTGACCTGACTGCCTTCACCTGCACAGGTAGGGATATGGGCAGGTGTTAATTGGTAATTTGTGAGCTCCTGGGAGAAGTAGGTCCTTATTTTTTAATGTGGTTTTATCTAACACATGCCCATCACCATGTTTTGCCCATAAGTAAATGCTGAGTTTTTGCACTTGTAAAGTTTCCCACTTAGAAACAATGAAAGTGTTAATCAGCTGATGAATGAATGAATACAATGTACATCCATACAGTGGAATGTGATTCAGCAATAAGGAGTGAAACACTGACATGCTATAACATCAGTGAACCTTGAAAACATGCTAAGTGAAAGAAATTAGTTATAAAGGCCACATATTGCACGATTCATTTATATGAAATATCCAGATAGGCAAATTCATGGAGACAAAAAGCAGATTAATGTTTGCTAAGGGCTGGTGGGGGAGGAGGGAATTGGTATGGGGTTTTCTTTTGGGGTGAAGAAAGGGTTCTGGAGTTAGAGGAGATGGTTGCAAGAATGAATTGTACAATTTAAAATTGTTACACTGGTGTATTTCATGTTATGTGAGTTTTATCTTGATAAAACATTTTGAGCTATGAAAAAACATTGTGAAAAAAACAACTTGCACAATCCACTGAGGTAGAGTAAGCTCTTTGGAGACTCTTGATGTCAGAAAGGTCTGCTCTGAATCTTCAGTGCAGTTCTTAGGGAGGACAGTGCTTGGCAGTTGAGGAAACTTGTGGCCTGTATGCTGGCCCCTTCTTTCATCCCTCTCTAGGAGCTGAGTGTGGAATGTGGCCTCAACAATCGCATCCGGGTAATTGGACAGATCTGTGAAGTTGCAAAAACTAAGAAATTTGAAGAGGTAAGTTTGTCTAGTTGGGCTACTAGGGAGATGCGTATGGGCTGTTTAGAAGCCAGAGTTTGCTTTCTCTGGGAGCATGTCAGTGACAGCTAACTTCACTAATGATCTTATTTGCATTATTTTAGGGAAATTTAACTTTCATCTTAGTGATGGGGAAGCCTCTGGATGCCATTTTGAGAGAGGTGACTGGTTGGTGGTACCGTGTAACCACACAGACACAGACATTTATTTTAGGCAAATATTGTCAGACTGTCTCCTGACAATCTGTGGACAGACTGGGCAGTTGTCATTCTGGGAACACAGGTTCCTCTTGAGGCACCTTAGGGCTCTCCCTGCCTTGCCCAGCATTGGGAGAAGACCTGGACCTCACAGTTCCCAGGCTCAGCTTTACTAAGTGGGAGTGACCACTTCATCTTCAGCAGTTCATCTGAAACACACAGGTTGCAATTACCAAGTACAGATGTTAAAAGTAGGCAGTCTTGTTCAGAAAGTTGTTCATATTGGTCCAGAATGTCCTGTGAATAGATGAATAACCTAAGAGGCTAGGATGGTCCACAGGTCCAGTGTCCGTGTGTTGTTGCAGCTCAGATCACAACAGCAGGAGTTTTATGAATGGGACAAAGGTGAGAGTTCCAGTGTATTCTGAGTTGTTTGGGATGTTGATCAGACAACACCTAAAAGACCACGGCCACCTTGGTTCTGCTCTTCTGGGGAGTATGTTCAGGAAAGGATGGTTGGTGGTTAACGCGGAGAAGGGAAGGTTATAAGGAAAACCAGCTCAAACGCTTTTTAAGTGAGACTGATTCTGGCAGCTATCAGGAGCAGGAATGAGCTCCCGTGGGCTGGGTGGAAGTTAGCAGCAGAGGCAGATTTCAGAGGCTGCAGAGTTTCTCAGCTGGTTAAGCAGTGGAGGCAGGGCAGGGGTGTGGTACTACGTGGCCCGAGGCTAGCGAGCTCATCCGAAGGAAAGCCATGGAGCAGGATTTCTGGATGAAGTGCAGCCTTGGGACCCACCCTGCACTTCTGGTTCTGGTACTCTTCCCATGACTTTCCCTTGTGGAGTCAGAGCAGCTCTAATGGTGATTCTCTGTGGGTCTGGGATCAGTCAGGACAGCTTCTCCAGCCTGCCTGCTGTCCCGCATCTCCCAAGTCTATGGCCTGGTGGAGGTTATAGGCATCTGCTTGGGATTAACATAGCTTTGAGCCAATGCTGTTACCAGGCCATGGTTAGCATGGACTGTAGAAGGTCATGAGATGTGTCAGAGAAGCAAGTTCTGAGTCACAAGACCTCGTTCTGGTCTGTCCTCCATTCACGGGCCTCCTCAAGTTGAGGCCCGAGGTATTGGAGACCACAGCCTCACCGCTGTCTCCCTTTGCTGGTGCAGCATGCAGTGGAAGCACTCTGGAAGGCAGTTGCAGACTTGTTGCAGCCCGAGCGGCCGCCAGAGGCCCGGCACGCGGTACTGGCGCTGCTGAAGGCCATTGTGCAAGGGCAGGTAAGGTCTGGGACAAAGCTAGGACAGAACGTGTGAGGTGACATCAGGCCGCCCATCGACTGTCCTGTTCCTGCTGGGCTGCATTTAGATTTGGTGAGGGTGCCAGGAGCTGGGTCTGGGGACTGACAGGCTCTGCAGCTGGACTGGGCATCCCTCATGTCTGTGTGACCCCAGGCAGGTCACTGTGGCCCTGAGCTGCCACCTCCCAGCCTGGAAGTGGGGATGGTCATCGTATCTTCTCCTCTGGATGTTCTGGGGGTTTCATGAAGCAATTCACGCAGAATGCTGTGACTGGTGCCTGGCCAGGGCTTCCCATTGTCTTGATCCCAAGCCCTTCTCCTTGGCTGGGGTTGCTCCCCCTGCTCCCTGTGTTCCAGCTGTGCTGGTTCTGAACACCTGAGTCACCTGCCTGGTGTGCTCCCTCCCCTGCTTTCTTCTTCATGTCCTGCCACTTAGAGAGGCCCTCCCACTCTTGGGTATCACACCCTTAGCCCTGTCGTCATTATGTGAGCACAGGCATGCCTACCCTGGGCCAGTGGGGGGCGGGTAAGCCCTGTGTTGTTCCTGCTGTGTGCCCCCTACCCTGCCCAGGACCCAGCCTGCAGTAGGTGCTCCATACGCCAGCCAGCACCAGTCAGCACATCTGGCCTCTGCCCTGAACCCTACTGTTGCCGACCAGTCCCTTGCAGGGTGTTCCTGTGGTAGGAGAAAGGGCCCAGGCCAGAGTTGAGGTGCTCACTGCACCTCTTGGCAGCTGCGTGGGAACCCCTAGCGGGGCTCTGCCCACCCTGTGATTTTGTCTTCAGGGTGACCGCTTGGGGGTCCTCCGAGCCCTGTTCTTTAAGGTCATCAAGGATTATCCTTCCAACGAAGACCTCCATGAAAGGCTGGAAGTGTTTAAAGCCCTAACGGACAACGGGAGGCACATCACCTACTTGGAGGAAGAGCTGGGTGAGTGCCACTTCGGGTGTGAGGTTTCTCTAGCTTTGGGATCCAATTTCCTTGGGGGGTGGGAAGGACTCGGGCCGCAGAGTGGCTGCAGTTCATGGGGATGGCCTGCAGGAGGCGTGCACCCTGTGCACTTGGGCTTCCCTGGATGCCTGAACCTCCCAGGGAACTTGTTAAACATGCGGAGACCTGTTGACTCAGAGTTTCCAGGGATTGGGGCCTCTCCCAGAGTTCCCCAGAGGGTGGGTAAAGCTGTTGAAACCACTGAGTAAATGGAGGGGTGGGAAGTGGACATAGCCACCCTCTACTTGCAGTATTATCTGATGTCTTAGTTAATGTTATTGAGTTCTGCCTGAGTCCTCACTAACCCCTTTCCTGGCCCTCCTGGGATAATGAACTTTCCCTTGGTCTTGAGACTTCGTGTCGTTATTGTGGGGAGAAGAGAAAGGAGGAGGAAGAAGTAGATCTGACTCGGGCTTTGCTGTTCTGTCGCTCAGAAAAGGGCTTCAGTGGTTGGTTGGCCTCCGTGACAGGTGCCAGCAGGGAACCCCTGAGGTTGTGTGACTGGTGGCCAAGTGTGTACATATCTCCTTTGAAAGACTTGGGCTGGGGCGCCCAGGAACCTGTCTCCTGTATGCGTTCTGGTGGTGTTTGTGCCCCAGCCTCTTGGGTGGGCTCTGAGTGCACAGCACTCACACACCTGTTGCCGTCTTAGCTTGAACCCCTCGATACAGCCCTGGAGCTGGTAAATCCTAGCGTCCGTGCCCTTCAGCTGAGCTGCCTGGGCTCCAGCTGAGCCGCCTCCCATCAGCCTCTAGCCTGCCCATTGTTCATTGCTAGGGGACTGACGATGGGAGTAATGGGGTTTGGACCTGTTTTCCTGAGGAAGGAGGCGAGTAGGAAGTGTAGATTCGGCTTTGACATGGATCACTGTTCTCTTTTCCCCTAGCTGAGTTTGTTCTGCAGTGGATGGATGTTGGCTTGTCCTCAGAATTCCTTCTGGTGCTCGTGAACTTGGTCAAATTTAACAGCTGTTACCTTGATGAATACATCGCATCAATGGTTCAGTAAGAAAAGCATTTATATAACATTGCTCTGATGATAGGTCCCATTGTCTTTTGTCTAAAGTTCAGCCCTGCAGGGTGGATAAAGTTGTTGAAACCACCAGGTGTTGGAGGGGTTGGGAGTGGACCTAGCCGCCCTCTACTTGCAATATCACCTGATGTCTTAGTTACTTTTTTCTTGTTTTTCAAAACATTATATTCAACGCATGAGATCGAGGCTCTGTCTCATTTGTGCTAAACATCCAGCTCTGAGAACAGTGTTCAAGCAGACCAAGCAGGCTCTGGCATGTTTGCTGGGTGAGGGGAGCACTGAGGGAGCATGACACTCCTATCAGTGACTTCATAGAATGATCAGGATAACACACCACTGCTGGCCTTATGAGAAGTGTCCTCTGAACTGACTTTGGTGCTTCCTTCACAGCATGATCTGTCTGCTGTGCATCCGGACTGTGTCCTCTGTGGACATAGAGGTCAGTGACTCCCTTCCCTAGGGGACAGTCCATTTCATCTTTTCTGGGAGGCTGGGGCTTAGGGGTCAGGCCCTCTGCCACTCATTAGCTGTGTAGCCCTGGCAAGCTGCTTGGCTTCTCTGAGCCTCTGCAGTCTCCTATGTAAATCAGGACAGCTGGATGCCTCCCTTGTGGAGTTGTTGCTCAGGATGGATGGTGTAATATTGATGACCCTTAGTGGAGGGCTCTGTGGTTCCAAGGGAGGCTGCCCTGGCAGTGGAGGGTGATGTCGCTGACTGACGGAGGGTGGGAAAGAGGCCCTGGGGTCATCTCCCATGGATGGGAGTTGGGCAGCACTGGCCTCATCCCTGCTATTCCTGCCAGGTCTCCCTGCAAGTGCTGGATGCCGTGGTCTGCTACAACTGCCTGCCGGCCGAGAGCCTCCCTCTGTTCATTGTCACCCTCTGTCGCACCATCAATGTCAAGGAGCTCTGTGAGCCTTGCTGGAAGGTGGGGGTCCTGGAAAGTCCTCCCTGGGATGAGGTCCTAAGCCAGGCGCATGGAAGGAACAGGGGCCATCTTGTCTTCGATGAATGGCTGTCTGATACTTGGGGCGGCCAGACAATGATCTGTTGAGGGGAGTCGGGGCATTTCCCCAGGCGGTGGAGCTGAGGTCAGGCTTTGGTGGCATTTTGGGCACTCTGCTGCCTCTGTGTTTGGGAGGAGACGGCAGTGAGCTGGCTGGACTGCGGGTGGCTGCACAGCAGTGGTGGGCAGGGCTGACCGAGGCCTGGGGCTCCGGCGGGGACGTGTCTGCTGATCCTGATGGTGTGCACTGTGTCCCCAGCTGATGCGCAACCTCCTGGGCACCCACCTGGGCCACAGCGCCATCTATCACATGTGCCGCATCATGGAGGACAGGTGAGTGGTGGGCTGGGGGCAGGTGGGCCAGAGCCCTCAGGAGGAGTCTGGTTGCGCTGGCCCTACCTGGCATGGCTGACTTTGGGCTTCCTGTTCCCATGGGGCGGCTCTTTCAGAAGCTGTCACTGAAGTCCGGCACGTGTCTTCCGTGTGTGGTCTCTTCTCCCCTTTCTTTCAGTCGATCAGAACATCCAAAATTGAACTCAGAATCTGCCTCCCATGTGGACACCCTCCAGGGTGGCTTCCTCACTGTCCTGTTCCAACCCAAATGCGGGTGTTAGCCCCAACACTGCCTTGCCTCACCCTGCAGCCACACCATGATGTGTCCTGTTGCTTCTGCCTATGCCCTGGTCTCCATCCCATGCCTATCAGCCCTCTCCTGCTCACTGCTTCCGGCGTCCTTTCTTGCGTCTGGAAGTACATCCTTCACACAGCAGCCAAGGGACATTTGCTGACACTGATCTGACTGTGTCATACTTTGCCTGAAGCCACAGTGGCTCCCAGTACCCTCAGGCAGTAAGTGCTTTGTGTGGAACAAGGCTCTGGGGGCCCTGGCCTGCCTTGACCTCTGGTCCTCTCACTGTGCCACCTCTTACCTTCCAAGAGCCTTTGCCTACACTGTTTCTCTTGCTAGAAGGTTCTTCTGCTTTTGCCAAGTTACTCAGAGTTCTTGAGTTCTTATTACAGTCATTAATTCCCTAGCCTCTTGAATAGTTTTTGCTCTTGTACTCATGACTTTCCCTCTTAGATGTAATTTGAGGAAGAGATTTTGCATTTACTTACAAGGTTCTTTGGCATCTGTGTCTCCCTCTTGACCATAAGCATCATGAGGCTGGGGTCTATCTCTTGCTCCCCTTCCTGTCCCTGGCTGGCATGACCATTGACACATAGCGTGACCAACAGTGTAGTCGCTGCCTGAGTGCAGCAGTGAATCAGAGAGTTGCTGCTGGCCTCCATGTCCCCACCCTGTTGAATACCCATTCATTATTATTGGCCAAGCAGCTTCCATCCTATATTTCCTAACCATTCTAATCCTTATGCCCAGCCTTTGCCTGGCTCTGCCCCTGCCCCTGCCCCGTAAGCACAGGGACCTTTGGGGTCTGCAGGGTGTCCACAGCCTTGTACACCTCTGGGTGGACACGGCCGGCCTCTGCTCATGTCCCATCTTCCTGGGATGCTTTCAGAGCCTACATGGAAGATGCCCCGCTGCTGAGAGGAGCTGTGTTCTTTGTGGGCATGGCTCTCTGGGGAGCCCACCGACTCTATTCTCTCAAGAACTCACCGACGTCTGTGCTGCCGTCGTTCTATCAGGTAATGTGGTGTCCAAGCCGCTATGAGCTGGCAGGAACAGGAAGGCTTCCCTGAGGCCCACTGCCTGGCCAGCAGTTCTGCTGCAGAGGCTCAGGGGGCCTTTCCAGTCAGTTGCTTTGTAACTGGGGATGAGATTTAGGGCTGTTTGGAGGTTTCATTCTCAAACAAACCTTAATGTCTTATGAATTTCATCTCCTACAAATTAGCAGTAGAACTGCTTCAAATTCCCTCTGGAGTAGTGACTCTCCTGCTTTTGATGGTCCCTGCTTTCCCTGGGATGATGCCAGTGGCGTAGCTTATGTCTCCACAGTGCCCTGCCACATCAGAGCACTTCCTGTGTATGTGCTCCTCTCGTTCCCATGGCTCCCTGGTGGACTGGGGCAGTCTCATTGTCCTCGTGCTGTCGTGAAGAACTGTTCACACGGGATCCCCTGCTCTGCCGCTCTCCCTGCACTGGGAGATGGTGAGGGTGTGGTCAGCCCCATCTGCACCAGGAGTCATGGTAGCGTTCAGTCAGCTTCTGCTGTGCTTGGACACCAGGGGTCTGGAATTCAAGGTTGCAGGTCTGAGTCAGGACCTCTGGAGGCAGGCTTGGGTTCCATGTGGGCCCTGACCACACGAGGGCGCTGTAGAAAACCTCTTCTGGGCTTCTTCTGTGTCTTGGGAGCCCATGATACCTTTGTGGCAGGCTCTGCCAAGGCGTCTCACACTCAGTTCCAAGGGTGACATGGGAGGGGCTTCCTGTGCATGAACAGTCACTGACCCCATGTGTTGCAGGCCATGACCTGTCCAAACGAGGTGGTGTCCTATGAGATTGTCCTGTCCGTAACCAGACTCATCAAAAAGTACAGGAAGGAGCTCCAGGCTGTGACGTGGGACATTCTGCTCAACATCATTGAACGGCTACTTCAGCAGCTCCAGGTGATACCATGGACAGGCAGGCTCGTCCCACCTGGAAGACGGTGCCTTATGTGTCTAGGTTGAGTCTTTGGGGAGATTCCCACAGAGAACTGTGTTCTCCGATGATTCTCAGTGAAGACAGGTCTGACTTTTCCAAATGTGCGCCATCATTTGGGCCCCAGACAGGAATATGCAGTAGGTGAACAGGAGTTGAACCGGTTCTACACAAGGAGACAGACATGTGGCCATTTCCATGGCCTGAGTGGTCCCTAAGGACAGTCCCCAGGAGGCATGGGATGCCTTGGTGTGACTTTGGAAGACAGTGTTACTTGTGTCTGTTAACCACAGTGCTAAGGAGGGTGTCAAAGCCACACATGTACACACGTACATACACACACACCTGCCAACGCTGGGGCTGTGGGGAGATGAGGCTGGCATCCAGCCCAGGCTCTGGGCTGGCCCTCTCCCAGAGCCTGGTGTGGGTGCTGTCTAGGCCTTCAGACCAGAGGAAGGAGGGGTAGGACTCAGCGGCTGCTAGCTAGATGGCTGCTGCGGACGCTGGCCAGGTGGTGGTACGGTTGGAGTGGCAGGGGCAGGCCACGCACTGGGACTTCTAGAAGATGCTGGGGTCTGGGAGGGGCCTGCAGGGGCTCAGCTGCAGCTGTTCTTAGCCTCCTGCCCTGTCTTCCTTCTTGACCTACTACATGGGCATAGCCAGGGTTCTGCGTGTGAGGAACAGGCAGCTGCCCATGCAGTTCTGCAGGAGGATAGGGGGGTCATATGTGGTCCCCTGGAGTGAGGTCTCCAGCACTGAGTCCCTGGGGGAGTGGAAATCATCTTGAGTGACAGCGCCTCTGTTCTGTAGAGCCTGGACAGCCCAGAGCTCAAGGCCGTTGTCCATGACCTGCTGACTACAGTGGAGGAGCTGTGTGACCAGAATGAGTTCCATGGCTCCCAGGAGAGATACTTCGAGCTGGTGGAGAGATGTGCGGACCAGAGGCCTGTAAGAGCCGCCCCAGGTGGGGCCTGTGGTGCACAGGCCAGCGGGAGGGGCCCCGGGTGCAATTGGGAGGCCAAACTTCCAAAGAGTTTGGAGTCAAGGACCAAGAGGCACCTGCTCTTGGTTTCTGTGCTCATCAGGGAAGGCTGCCAGGATGTCGGCGCAGGTGTGTGGGACTGTTGAGCACTGTGCTAGCCTAACCATCATATTCCTCCCACCTGTGCGGAGGAAGGTTTCGCCACTCTGCAGAGCCTTGCTGCTCCTGGCAGCAGCTGTCATTTTGCCAGGAGCGCTCAGCTTGATGACAAGGCTTTTCTGTAGGTTTTTGAATGCATTTTCCCTCTGCCAGGGTGCCTTTGTTCCTCTGAACTCCCCACTTGGGCCTTGAGATTGCTGGTCTCCATGAGCCAACTGTCACCAGGGCAGTAGCCTGGTGGTAGCGCACTGAAGAGCAAAGCGGCTTGTTGACACTAGCTTTTTCTTCTGACAGGAGTCTTCCCTCTTAAACCTAATATCGTACAGAGCTCAGTCAATTCACCCGGCGAAGGATGGCTGGATTCAGAACCTGCAGTTACTGATGGAGCGATTCTTCAGGTAGGGGAGCCAACATGGCCCCCACTTGGCACCTGGAGTCTGACCCTACATCTGTCTCTGGCCTGCCCCAGACCTGGGTCTCAGGCCTGCTGAGCCAGGGCCTTTTTTTCTGATTCTCAAAAGTAATGGTTCTCAGCAGCGGGAATGGTTTGCTTCTGGCAGGACCGGTCCTCTTCCGAGGCTGCTGGGCTTGCCTTCTCCGTGTGCTGGTTGTCTAGAAAGACGGGTCCCGGAAGGCAGAGCTCTCTGCTGCTTACCCTGAGACTGGGGCTGGATGGTGATGAGCCAGGCCTGTGGGAGGAGCCATTCAGGCTTGTCTGCGTTGGGGCGAGTGGGCCTGGTGGGCTCTGGGGCGAGTAGGCCTCATCAACCCCCAGCAGGCTGCTCCCCCCTAGGAGCGAGTCTCGTGGCGCCGTGCGCATCAAGGTGCTGGATGTGCTGTCCTTCGTGCTGCTCATCAACAGGCAGTTCTATGAGGTATGTCTGCAGGGCTGCTGCGTCTGTGGGGTCTGAGGGCAAGGGGCACTCTAGAGCTGGGCCCCACCCCCACCGTACATGTGCCTACAGAGCCTGGGGTCTGCCTGGGACTCCAGACCTAGCTGGCGCCCTCCCTGGTAGTCAGCTTTGTTTACACACCACCCCCCCCATTCATTCATTCATTTGTTCATCCTGTGATGCCCCAGCCAGGCCTGTTCCGGGCCTTGATGTGCGACTGCGTCTCCAGGAGGACAGTTCCTGCCTCAGGGAGCTCCCACCTAGGCAACCGCCTCCTGAGACTCCTATTCTGAGCTTAGACCAGTCTTGCATGGGGACATTTCCTTTTGTTTGTGTTACTACATTCACCCCCTACACTCTGGCCTGGTCGGCAGCTGCTAGGAGCTGTCCCAGGCCTGGCCTGGTCTCTCCACTGCCAGTTTCTCTCTTTCCCCTCCATGCCTTGAGAGGTCTGTGGCCACAGTCCTTCCTTCCTCGAGAATCATTCTTGTGTGCCTACAGCTGGGCCCTTCTTCCAGGGCATGCAGTTTCAAGGTCTAAGGCCTCCCCGTGTGCTGCTCCTGGCCTCCCCCTGTGCTCCACCTGGCAGCCTTGCAGTTTCCTATGTTCCCAAGACCATCTGCTCCCCCGCCCCTAGCCCTTCCTCTCTATTTTTTGTTTGAGCTGGGGTCTTACTGTTGCCCAGGCTGGCTCACCACAACCTCGACCTCTGGGGCTCAGGCAGTCCTTCTGCCTTAGCCTCCTGAGGTCCTGCGAGTCTGTGCCACCATGTCCAGTTAACTTCTTGATTTTGTTGTAGAGATAAGGTCTCACTATGTTGCCCAGGCTGGTCTCAATCTCCTGTGCTCAAGCGATCCTCCCACCTTGGCCTCCCAAAGTGCTGGTATTACAGGCATGAGCCACTACAACTAGCCTTCTCTCTGAACCTAGTGCTTTCTTCAAAAAAGCAGGCAGGAACATTGCCTTGGTTGCAGCCCATGTGAGCCCATGGCCCCATACCTATGCATCATGCAATAGTCGCTGTTCTTTTTAGTGGAGGGGCTAGACAGGGAATTCTTGGAAAGGGCCCTGGGGGCTCCGAGTTGGGGTTTAGCGGGGCTGATAGCCCCCACCAGCTTTTTTGAAGCCTTGAGTAGCACCTAAGTTGGCTTTTGGTTGATACCTGGAGGAGTCCAGTGTCTGTAAACTGTGCTCCTTGCTGGGCCGATGGCTCACCTTACTCTCACTTGTACCCGGTGCAGGAGGAGTTGATTAACTCAGTGGTCATCTCCCAGCTGTCCCACATCCCTGAAGACAAAGACCCCCAGGTCCGAAAACTGGCCACCCAGCTGCTGGTAGACCTGGCAGAAGGCTGCCACACCCACCATTTCAACAGCCTGCTGGACATCATCGAGAAAGTAAGAGCAGGGGGCCAGGCTGTGGATGTCAGAGGGATCCTTCCTTGTGGCAAAGGGCCATGGGCAGAAATGGCCTCTGGGCACTGTGACCCTTCTCAGCATGACTAGGTGCTGTCTCTGTAGGTGAGGCTTCCATCCCAGCAAGGTGGTGGTGTCAGAAGCCCTGTGCTGGGCCAGCTGCTGCTTTGCATCCCCACCCCTGTCCTTCCTGCATGGCAGCTTTTCTGTCTCTCTCTCTCTTTTTTTTTTTTTTTTTGTGAGTCAAGGTCTCATTCTGTTATCCAGGCTGGAATACAGTGACACAATCACAGCTTACCACAGTTTTGGCCTCCTGGGCTCAAGCAATCCTTCTGCTTTAGCCTCCTGATTAACTGGGACTACAGGTGCACACCACCACACCCAGCTAATTTTTTTATGTTTTTGTGGAGATTAGGTCTTGCTATATTGTCCAAGCTGGTTGCGAACTCTGGATTCAAGCAGTCCTCCTGTCCCAGCCTCCCAAAGTGTTTGGATTACAGGCATGAACCACCACACCCAGTCCGGCTTTTTGTTTTTTTTTTTTGAGTTGGAGTCTCACTCTGTCGCCCAGACTGAGTGCAGTGGCTGCTCCCAGTCACCGCAGGCTCGACCTGCTGGGCTCCGGCGATCCTTCCTCCTCAGCCTTCCAAGTAACTGGAACTACAGGCGTGCGTTACCACATCTGGCTAATTTTTGATTTATTGTAGAGATGAGGTCTCGCCAAGTTGCCCAGGCAGGTCTCGAACCCACGGGCTCAGGCAATCCACTCACCTCAGCCTCCCAAGGCGCAAGATTACAGGCTGAGTCACTGAGCCCGGCTTCCTTTTAATTTTTGAATGCATTTCATTTTCTGAATGGTCACTCAGGGTATAAAGGGCAGCTGTGCTTCTGAGGAATAAAGGAGAAGGTACTCTTGGTGGAAAGGGTCAGATCTGACCATGTCTACCTCAGAGAGCCATGAGCTGGAAAGTAAGCTCTGCTCTTCTCCTTAAAGGTGATGGCTCACTCCTTGTCTCCACCCCCTGAGCTGGAAGAAAGGGACGTTGCTGCCTACTCAGCCTCCTTGGAGGATGTGAAGACTGCCGTCCTGGGGCTCCTGGTCATCCTTCAGGTGGGTGCTCTGCGTGGGTGGACCTGTCTCCCAGTGGTGTGTGATGGCTAGCTCATGTCCAACAGATGTATGGCAGTCTTGTTGGAGTCTGTTCTTCAGGGGGACATGGGCTCTTCTTGGGATTGCAGAGGGCATGGTGGTTCTGGCCAGCAGGTCCTTGGAACCTTGGGTATGATCCTGGCTCCCCAAGCACAGGAGGAATGTGTGAGAGACCCTGTTGTGCACCCTGTCCAGAGTTGGTCTTATCTGAGACGTTCCTGAGTCAGGGCCAGAACCGGTGCCGTTCTCAGTGCAACACTGTCCTCGGCCCCCATGGCAGGGTAGGAGGGGAGGGCAATCACCCCATTCCCACCCAGCAGCTGGGTTGTTGGTGATTTTTTTTTGTTTGTTTTTTTGTTTTTAGACAGGGTTTTGCTGTTACCTAGGCGGAGTACAGTGGTACAATCATAGCTCACTGTAGCCTCCAACTTTTTTTTTTTTTTTTGAGTTGGAGTCTCACTCTTGTCGCCAGGCTGGAGTACAGTGGCATGCTCACGGCCACGCAGCCTCGACCTGCTGGGCTCAGGCGATCCTTCCGCCTCAGCCTTCCAAGTCACTGGAACTGCAGACGCACAGTACCAAGCCCAGTTAATTTTTTTTATTTATTGTAGAGATGAGGTCTTGCCAAGTTGTCCAGGCTGATCTTGAACCCGTGGGCTTGGGCAGTCCTGTTACCTCGACCTCTCAAAGTGCTAGGATTATAGACGTGAGCCACCGTGCCCGGCCTAGCCTCCAACTCTTGGGCTCAGGGGGTCCTCCCCTCTCAGCCTTCTGAGTAGCTGGGACTATAGGTGCGTGTCACCACACCTAGGCAGTTTTATACATTTCTTGTGGAGGTAATGTCTTGCTATATTACCCAGACTGATCTCAAACTCCTGGCCTCAGGTGATCCTCTCACCTCAGCCTCCAAAGTGCTAAGCTATGGGCGTGAACCACTGCACGTGGCCTGTTTTAATTTTTTAAAATAGTATTATTGGGATGTAATTCACATACCATGCATTTCACCTGCGTACAGTGGGCCTGGCTATTTTCTCTTTTATAATTTGGAAGTAACATAGCAGTTTTCAGTAAGTTCACAAAGCTCTACATCCATCAACACAATGAGTGTAGAACATTTTTATCCTCATCACTTCAGAGGAGATGCCATGCCCATCAGTGCTCACTCCCACCCCCATTGCGCCTGTGCCTCTGGCCACCACTGTTCTGTCTCTGTGGGTTTGCCTATTCTGAATGTTTTATAGAAATGGAGTCATGCAATACACAACCTTTTGTATTATTTCACCCAGCATAATGTTTTCCAGGTTCGTTTGTGTTGTAGCCAGTGTCTGTGTGTCATTCCTTGTCATGGCTGAGTAATACTCCATTGTATGGATACACCACATTTGTTGGTTGGGGGCCATTTGGAGTGTTCCTGCCTTTTGGCTGCCGTGAATGTTATTGTATAGTGTGTGGACATGTGTCCATTTCTCTTGGGTCTAGGCCTAGGAGTGGGGTGGCTGGTCCTGTGTTAAGCTGCATTTAATGTTTTGAGGAACTGCCAGCCTGGACCATTCTACGTCCCCTCAGCAATGCATGAGGGTTCTGATTTCTCTACCAAAGAGAAAGTGTTGTCCTTGGCACTTGTTCATTTCTGTTTGACTGCAGCCCCCTAGTGGGAGTGAGGAGGCATTGCGCTGTGGTTTTGACTTGGTTTCCCTGAAGACTGACTGACCCTTTCATGCGCTTCTGGCCATTTGTGTGTCTTTGGAGAAGGCCCTGTTCAGATGTCATGCCCATTGTCTTTGCATCATCAAGTCATACGTGTTCTCTATTTGAAATATGAGTCCCGTACCAGATGGGGACTTACTTGCAGGGGTGTTCTCTGCTCCACTGGCCTTTACTTAGAAATCCAGCTCTGGAGACCCGAGGACTGGGGCTCCGGAACTGAGCTGTTTCCTGGTTTGGGCAAAGGTCTGGGCTTGGCTGTTTTCATTTCTTTTTTTGTAATTAAAAAGTAATAAGTTGACCCTTGAACAGTGTGAGTATTGGGGCACCAACTCTCCCCCACACACAGTTAAAAACCTACATAGAACTTATGACTCCCCAAAAACTTTGCTAATAGCCTGCTGTTGCCCCAAAGCCCTACAGAGAACATCCACAGTTGATTGGCACATAGTTTATAAGCTTTTTTTTTTGAATTGGAGTCTCACTCTTGTCGCTCTAGCTAGAATGCAGTGGCATGCCCACGGCCACTGCAGCCTTGACCTGCTGGTCTCAGGCAAGCCTTCCACCTCAGCCTTCCAAGTAGCTGGAATATAGGCCCATGCTACCACACCCGGTTAATTTTTTTTTTATTGTAAAGACGAGGTCTCACCAAAACACCTTGAACTCCTGGGCTCAGGCAATCCTCTCGTCTTGGTCTCCCAAAGTGCTAGAATTACAGGCTTGAGCCACCACCGTATTTTATATGTTACGTGAATTGTATACTGCAGTCTTACAACAAAGTAAACCAGAGGAAAGAAAGCATTGTTAAGAAAGTCATAAGGAAGAGAAGAGATAGGTGTTCTCCCTCCGTGGAAGTGGGGCATCGTAAAGGTCTTTGTTCTCCTCGTCTTCCTGTTGAGAAGGCTTGGGGAGTGGTCTTGGGTGGCAAAGGAGGAAGAAATGGGCCTGCACAGTTCACTCCGTGTTCAGAGATCAGCTGGGTTTCCATTTGGTTAAAAGCACATCACATTGTGAACAGTTAGCGGGATAAATACAGTGAAAAGTTCGGCTCCTTCCTTCCTGCCGGGAGGGCTTTGCCCAGCCGCAGCCCCGTGTGCCCATTCTGGAACGGCCTATGCATGGTCAGGCATTGGGTCAAACCCCCACCTTTTTTTTTCCAAAGCAGGGTTAATGCTTTCATATTTTATTTTATTTTTTTATTTTTTGAGTTGAGTCTCATTCTTGTCACCCAGGCTGGGGTGCAATAGCATACTCATGGCTGCCGCAGCCTTGACCTGCTGGGCTTAGGCGATCCTTCTGCCTCACCCTTCCAAGTAGCTGCAACTAAAGACGCACGCCACCACGTCCAGTTAGTTTTTGTAATTTATTGTAGAGATGAAATCTCACCAGGTGCCCAGGCTGGTCTCAAACCACCAGGCTCAGGCAATCCTCTTGCCTTAGTCTCCCAAAGTACTGGGATTACAGGCTGAGCCACCGTGCCTGGCCCATATCTTATTTTTTGAGACAGAAAATCAGCATTGAGGTAATTGTTTTTTCTTTGAAAAGAACAATAGCTTTGTAAGTACCCACTACTCCCCTCCAGGAGCACCATGGCTGCATCCCTCCCACCTCTTGTTGACCCCAAGGGTGCTGGCAGCACCCAGGGCTCTCACACCTGGCCTCAGCTGTCAGGGAGGCGCCCTTGGCCTTGTCAGTATGGGGTGGGGGCTCCCAGTGGGGACGCCCCGCACCTGAGCACACTCCCCAGCTGGTTCTACCCTCCTTGCCTTGTAGCAGGGACAGAGTTTCCCTTGTAGCCCAGGGACAGTGTATTCGTAGATTCCCTGCTGGAGATGGACATGGCATTGTTTTGATTTTGGCTGTTGTGGAGAGATGAAGCCCTGGGGGTGGGTTGATGGGTTCAAGGTGGTATTTCCTGAAGTGTGGCAGTTGCTGCTCCATTACCCTCCAAAGAGGCCATTCTGGGTCCTCTCCTCCAGAGGCACTGGGTGCTGTCTCCTGCCCTGCGGTGATGAGTGCGCTCTCTCTGTAGACCAAGCTGTATGCCCTGCCTGCAAGCCATGCCATGCGCGTGTATGAGACACTGGTCAGCCACATCCAGCTCCACTACAAGTACAACTACACGCTGCCCATCGCCAGCAGCATTCGGCTGCAGGTAGGATGGCCCTGGGTGGGTGGTCCCTTCTCTGGTGGCCCAGCAAGCTGTCTCAGTCTCAGTGATGTGATGTCAGGGGGCTGGAGAGGTGGCAGGTGACCCAGGGAGAAGCCTACAGCAGGTGACCCAGGGAGAAACCTACCATCTCTTCCTCTGCACCCACTGTGGCCACAGCCTCCCCAGGACCTACTGTCCTTCCTTCTGCCTGCAGTTCATGTGCCTCTGTGGTCACTCTGAGCCATGGGTGGCCTGGGTTGGGGCAGAGAAAAGGAGGCATGTTGACTTTTAGGGTGGTACATGGCTCCAGTCCTGCAGAATCTGTCAATGACCTGCAGCAGGGGGCCTGGGCAGGGAGGGCTGGGCAGGGCTGGAGAGGTCCAGGCAGGGCAGGACTGGAGAGGGCAGGGCTGGGCAGGGCCGGAGAGGGCAGAGCAGGGCTGGGTTGGAGAGGGCAGGGCAGGGTTGAACAGGCTGTTCTGAGCCTGTGCTGTGGGAGTTAGGTGTGCTCGTGCCAGCAACCAGCCTTTTCTGGGCACGGCGTAGTACTGGGCATGAGAGTCTGAGCAGGTGGGTTTTGCCGCCTGTCCTGAACCACGTGTGTTCCTGGCCCTGTGGCATGTTGCCGTCCTTTCTCTGACAGGCCTTCGACTTCCTGCTGCTTCTGCGGGCCGACTCACTGCACCGCCTTGGCCTGCCCAACAAGGATGGGGTCGTGAGGTTCAGCCCCTACTGCGTCTGTGACTGCCTGTACGTAGGCCAGTACGTGCCACACCACCAGTGTGGTGGTGGCAGTGGCGGCACTGGTGCTCTTGCCCCACGCAGGGGTGCTCGTGTGTCTGAGGGACTGTCCCCAAGGGCGGGGATGGGAGGTACTATGTTCTGCCCTGCAGAGCAGTGGGCTGGAGGGTCCAGCCTGCTTCCCTTGCTTGCCTCTGCAGGGAGTCGGACAGAGGACCTGAGAAGAAGGCCAGTGGCCCCCTCTCACCCCCTACAGGGTCGCCCGGCCCGGTGCCCACAGGCCCCTCTGTGCGACTTGGCTCTCTGCCCTACTCCCTGCTCTTCCGCGTCCTGCTGCAGTGTTTGAAGCAGGTGAGGACCTGGGACCTTGAGCTCTGTTAGGCCAGATCCACGCTCCTCGTTGTAGGCCTTTGGCCAGAGAAACTGCAACACTTCCGTGACCTGGTGCAGCCCTGTCGTGGCCCCACAGCTGGGGTTGACATGGTTTTGGTGGCAGCACTCAGATATGTAGACCAGGGCATGTCCTCATGAGGAGGCTGTGTAGGACTGTGGGGTGCAGTCACTATTGGAGGTACCTCCTGGGGCAGATGAGGTTAGTCCTGAAGGGTGGGGAAGGTGCCAGTGGCAGGAGTGAGCAGAGCCTGGGAGAGGGTGGGCACAACTCCTGCTGTAGCTCTGAGCCAGTGAAAGGGATGGTTGATGGGGCAGGGCTAGGGAGAGAAGCAGGACCAGGGAGAGGCTCCCAGGGCTGTTGGCTGTGGTCGTGGCCCTGGCAGTGGTTGCTCTCTGATGGGGAGACATCCAGGGGGAGGTTGACTTTGGGCAACCACTGGTGAGGCCTTGGGCTGACTTGGGTCCGTGGTGACTGTCAGGGCTTGTAGGTTGTTGAAGTACTTGCTGCTTTTTTTTGCTATGTCTTCATTTAGCAGAGAAAATTAAGCTGGTGCTCTGGGTGGGCATGCCAGGGACCTCTTGGGTACTGTGCCATAGGCAGGCGGTCACTGGGTCATCCTTGGGTGAGCAAGGGGAGGGTGGAGCCAGGTGTGTGGGAGTCCCACACTGGACCTAGAGGAGAGAGATGTCGCTTCCTGATGGACCTCCAGCCTCACTTGGCCTGGAGCCAGCCACCCCTGCCCAGGGGTGAGCCCGCCTGGCGTTGACCCTTCTGGAAGTAAGCCTGCCTGGAAATGATTCTTCTGTAAGTGACCCTCCTGGAGGTGAGCCCACCTGAAGGTGACCCTTCTGGGTAACCCTTCCAGAGGTGAGCCTTCCAGAGGTGAGCCTTCCAGGTGACCCTTCCAGAGGTGAGCCTTTTGCAGGTGACTCTTCTGGAGGTGAGTCTTCTCTGAGCAGCATCTACAGAGGCCCGAGGCTGGGCAAGCCCCCCTTTTGCTGAGAATGGGGCCCTGGAAGCCTCAAAGCTTTCTACACACACAGCCCCAGCTGCTGAGCCTCCTCTTCTGTTTCCAGGGCCCAGACAACTCTGTCCTCCCTCTAACTGCCTTCCTCCTTCCAGGAGACTGACTGGAAGGTGCTGAAGCTGGTCCTCAGCAAGCTGCCTGAGTCCCTGCGCTACAAGGTCCTCATCTTTACCTCCCCATGCAGCGTGGACCAGCTATCCTCCGCCCTCTGCTCTATGGTAATGCCGCCTTGGAGGCCCCTGGGCGACCTCCAGCTGTCATTCACAGTGGCCTGGTATGGGTGGTGGGGCCACAGTGCAGTTCCAACTTCTCCAAAAGACCCCAGGCCCCTGGAAGGAGTGAGTGAGACATGAGACCTTCCAGGCTAGGAACTCCATTGTCCTCAGCTCAGCTCCTCTCTGGGGCACAGATCATGCCTCTGGGCCAGGCAAGCCTGCCAAGATGGGCTGGAAATGCCCTAGGGACCCCTGCCTTCCACTCCCTGCCCCCCACTCCCAGCTCATAGTCAGGGTGCATCACTGGAGGTAGATGTTTCCCATCTCCCCTCATTCTGACTGAGGCTCCCCTAACGCTCATGTCATGTCTCCTGCTTCCCCCAGCGCATCACTCAGTGGGCATGCTCCCAATTCTCTGAAAAGGAAAGGCTCCCCCAGACTCTGACTCTCTTTTCCTAGGCCTGCATTCTCACAGGCCTCCCCAGGCAGGGGTTTAATGTCTGGGTCTTGGTGATTAGCTTTCAGGCCCAAAGACCCTTGAGCGACTCCGAGGCACCCCAGAAGGGTTCTCCAGAACTGACCTGCATTTGGCTGTGGTTCCAGTCCTGACGGCATTAATCTCTTACCACATATACTTAGACAAAACCAAACAGGTACTAATGGGAGAGGGACAAGTGAGCTTGATGGTGCCTGGGATTTGAAAACCTGGTCCCAGCTGGGTGCAGTGGCTCATGCCTATAATCCTAGCACTTTGGGAGAGGGAGGGAGAGGATTGCCTGAGGCCAGGGTTCAGGACCAGCCTGGGCAACTTGGTGAGACCTTGTCTCCATAATAAATCAAATTATTGCGGGCATGGTGGCACAAGCCTGTAGTTCCAGCTACTTGGAAGACTGAGGTAGAAGGATCGCCTGAGCCCGGTAGGTCAAGGCTGCAGTGGCCATGAACATGCCAGTACACTCCAGCCTTGGCGACAGAGTAAGAGTCCGACTCAAAAAAAAAAAAAAAGAAAAGAAAAGAAAACCTGATCCCCTGAGCCAAATGAATCCGACTTTTTCCTAAGGTGGCCTGCTGCAGGCCGAGGGTACAGTGAGCTGGCTTTGCTCTCCATGAGCTGCTGGATGCTTGCAAGCCTGTCCTGTCCAGAGCCTTGGCATCTGGACCCCCTGTTGCTTGGTCCTCTCTGGGGGCTTGGCCTCAGTGCAGCCCTTGAAAACCTCATACCCAGCAGCACCTCTCTTCTCTCTCAGCAGCATCATCTGGCCTGTCCCTGCTACAGCTGTGGGCCAAGCTGGTGTGAAAGCTGGTCAGGTTTTGAGGCACAGGGCAGGTGCAGGCCCTGGTTTCCCCCTCCCTCTGTGCCCGTCATCTGCATGCAGACACTGCTGCTGTCACATGTCCTGTCCCATTAGAGTTTCCCATCTCTTTGGTGCGCTCTTTCCTCAGTGAGAAAACTGATGTCTTAGAGAGGCCAGGCACCCACTCAAAGTCCCGCCAGCCAGGAGAGTGACTTAGACTCAGGCTTGGGGCTGTCTGTCCCTGAGCACAAGCTCCAGGTTGTGGCACCGTTGGGAGCTGATACTGAACTCCCACCCTTAGGTTCTGCCTAAATAGGAGCCCCCACCCCCCAGGGTGCGTCCAGCCTCTCCTGTGTGGCCTGGCCTGGTTCTCACGGGCTATGCTAAACTGAAGGTTTTCTGAGGCCCTCTTGGGCCCAGTGTTTCTGAGGGGTAGGGCTGACTTCAGGAAAACAAAATTATTCCTGGAGCATTGAGTCACCAGATGCCCTGCTCCAGGTACCTGATCCATTACTGCCTGCTGCCATCCTCACAGAGAACACTCCGTAGGCTTGGCGGGGGCCTTATGTCCTTGCTGCCTCAGGAGGCACCTTCCCTTGCACGAGGCCAGCCCTGTGGGGGTCCAGAAAGAACCAAGGGGCCGAAGGGGCCAGCGTGTCCTGGTTCTGGGGGTACAGAGTGCTTGGGTGGCTCAGTGGTTGGTGGCTCTGCCCTTTGGGTGTTCGGGGCCCTTCCTGAAGATCTGCCATGGTCCCTCCTCTGTGTGGGGCTTCTGAGTGGGGGTAAGGGTGGGGAGGCCCTGGGGAAGCACCTGGTGCTCCAGAGTAGCTGTCACTGCCGGTGGTGTGTCGGGCCTGAAACGTCCTGTCTCCCACAGCGTGAGCTGGTATACTGTCTGGAGCAGGGTCTCATCTACCGCTGTGCTAGCCAGTGCGTGGTGGCCCTGGCTATCTGCAGTGTGGAGATGCCCGACATCATCATCAAGGCGCTGCCTGTCCTGGTCGTGAAGCTCACGCACATCTCGGCCACAGCCAGCATGGCGGTCCCGCTCCTGGAGTTCCTGTCCAGTGAGTCCGAGCCCACCTATGTGGCAGGCTCTTGAGTTTGGGGATGTGCCCTTGAAGTAACGTGTGTGGATTTCTCTGACATCTTGTGACCTCTGGGCCGCCTTGGGGAACCTAGGTCTTGCACCATCTGCTGCCTCAGGGCTGTGGCACCTCCTTCCTGGCCTTTGAGGGGCTCTCCTTGCATCCGCTCGGTGTCGGTTTAAATGTCCCTCCTAGCCGGGCTTGGTGGCTCAGCCTGTAATCCTGTGCCTTGGGAGGCTGAGGTGAGTGGATTGCCTGAGCCCGCGAGTTCAGGACCCGTGTGGGCAGCGAGACCTCATCTCTACAATAAACCAAAAAATCAGCCGGGCATGGTAGCGCATGCCTGTAACTCCAGCGACTCGGAAGGCTGAGGCGGAAGAATCGCCGGAGCCTAGCAGGTCGAGGCTGCGGTGGCCGGGAGCGGCCACTGCACTTCAGTCTGGGCGCAGAGTGAGACTCCAACTCAAAAATAAATAAATAAATAAATAAAAATAAAGAAATAAATGTCCCTCCTTAAAGAAGGTTCTCTTGCCCAGTTTTGGTCCCATGACTGGCCCGGCTCTCTCAGACTCCTCTCTGTCCCTTGGAATACATACACACCGCAGTGTGGAGACTTTGCTGACTCCCTTGTGTGTCTGTACCCCTCTCGGATGGTGACTTCCCCCAGCCCAGGTGCCCACATGTTCCTTGATGCCACCACCTCGTGCATGTCTGACCAGGAGCAGGTGCTCCGATGTTCAGACACAAAACAGAAAGGGATCAGCACTCTACATAAAGGGCCAGATAGAGGATCGTTATGCTTTGTGGGCCACATGTGGGCTCCATCACATCGTCTTTTTACAACTCTTTAAAATGTAAAAATCAGCCAGCCACTGTGCCTCACGCCTGCAATTCCAGCACTTTGGGAGACAGGTGGGAGGATTGCCTGAGTCATAAGTTTGAGACCAGCCTGGACAACATGGTGAGACCTTGTCTCTACAATAAATAAAAAAATCAGCTGGGTGTGGTGGTACACACCTGTAGTTTCAGCTACTTGGGTGGCTGAGGCAGAAGGATCACTTTAGTCCAGCAGGTTGAGGCTGCAGTGGCCATTAGCATGCCACTGCACTCCAGCCTGGACAACAGAGTGAGATTTTGAATCAAAAAGAGAATGTAAGCACCATTTGTAGCTCACAGGTTACAGAAATGCAGGCTACAGTCTGGTTTTTGCTTGGGAACTGTGACTGGCTGGCCCCTGAAAGGGACATCCAAGGTCAGGGTTGGGAAGGTTGTGTCGGGTGGCTATGGCCTCCTCTCCTTTGCAACACCCCCTGCCCACCGTGGGCCAGAGTGGCTGCAGTGGCTTTTAGAAACGCAGTACAGGCCCTTGGTGACGCTAGCCCTGCCGTAGCCATGGCTCTTCCTTGGGCTGGCCTGAACCCCTCACTGGCTGTCTTTGCTGCCACAGCGCTGGCCAGGCTGCCACATCTCTACAGGAACTTTGCTGCGGAGCAGTATGCAAGCGTGTTTGCCATCTCCCTGCCGTACACCAATCCCTCCAAGTGAGTGCTGGCCACCCGAGGCCCTGCCCCTCCCCGCTGAAGCCCCAGCCAGGCTTCAGAGCAGAAAGCCACACGGGCCTTCCTGCCCTGGCCTTGCCCAAGACCCGAGTGCCTCTGCGCTTCCAGCCCTGGGGATTTCTCCCTGGGTGCAGGATGGAGTGCCAGCCTCTGTCTCGTCTCAGATTCAACCAGTACATCGTGTGCCTGGCCCACCACGTCATAGCCATGTGGTTCATCAGGTGCCGCCTACCCTTCCGGAAGGATTTTGTCCCTTACATCACTAAGGTAGGCCCAAGGGCCAGGGGGCCACATCCCTTGTTAGACTGGGCCCCCTTTCTCTTGGCTGTCTGTGTCTAAAACGGGGCAATGGCAGGCGGAGGGAAGTGGGGTACCACTGGTGCCTGGGGGCTCTGCTGGCCCAGCCTGCTGGGCTCTAGAGTGGCTGTGTGGGTTGGGAGCTGCCACTTGATCCTGGACCTGCAGCTTGCCCCAGGCCGAGGGGCATCTGGCAGGCAAGTCAAGGGCCCATCGCCTCCACGCGTCCCTCCCCCCACGGCTCAGGTGTGCCCCTCTCCCCCAGGGCCTACGCTCCAATGTCCTCCTGTCTTTCGATGACACCCCCGAGAAGGACAGCTTCAGAGCGCGGAGCACCAGTCTCAATGAGCGACCCAGAAGGTACGGGGCCTGTGGGGTGTCCCTGATGTTGGCGTGGGGTGGGACAGGACTTGGGGCTGTGACCTGGGACCAGTGTGAGGCACACAGGCCTGGGGCTGCCCAGCTGCCTCCAGTGAGTGAAGTGGATCTTATAAGTGGGGGTATGTTCCCCCGCAGGCTGTGCTGGGGCCAGTGTGCCCTGGGGTTTGTGAGCCCGGGAAGAGGCTAGGAGGGCTGCTGACAACCCATGCTCTTGGCCAGGCCAGCCTGCTGTGGCCCGTAGCACATGACACCTGTGATCTGGGATCCTGGCCACCTGTGCCTCAAGTGTGGATTCGTGGAGTTGGGGATCAGGGTGCTAGCTGTATGTGTCTGACTCCCCTGAAGGTGCCCAGGATCGCATCAGGGCAGCTATGACTCCTGGTCTGGGTCCTGTGGCCCCTGTGCCGGTCCCGGTCTTGCCAGGGCTGCCATCCTCCAGAGCTCACCCCAGCCCATCGCTAACCAGGGGACATGCTCTGCTTCACCATCACAGCTGCTTTTGCCAAATGGGAGAAAAGAGCTGAACCCTCTGTGTTCTTGTTTGCATTCCATTTGAACGGCTTCGCCCCCCGCCCGTCCCCCTCCACGTCCCCTACGTTCCTGCCCAAGCTACTTTGGCTCTCCCTAGATGGGAAAACGGCATTTTCCAGCGTGACCTAAACTCAAAGCTGTTCTCTCAAGCCCCTGGGGGCCAGACTTGTTTTTGGACTTCTTGGACCTTGAGCTTAGAACTGGCCTCTTTTCACAGTGGCCCTCAGGGCCTGGCCACTGAGGCCTTAGGCCTCTTTGGTCCCGGAGCTGGGGTGGGGGTATGCCTGGCCAGCGCGGTCTGGAATCTGCCGTGCGGGCAGTCCACGCACGTCTCATTGGCACTAATGTTCTTTGTTTTGGTATCATGCGTGAAGCCTTATCTTTTCTCAGTCGTGTTTACCAGATGCATTATTATGCGTTTTTGTTTCCTGTCTCTTCCCCGCTGACTGTCCTTTGGCATGGCTCTTTTGTTCATCTCACCCGCGGGATCTCTCCATCCTGACCCTGTGGCCTGGTGCCTTTCCTCCTCACCCCTCCACTGGCTTGTTCTCCCTGCCCGGGAGCTGGGCTCTCTGGGGCTTGGGGCTCCTTCCTCACCTGGTAGTCTGAGGATAGCCAGACCCCCCAAACAAGGCTTGAATAACTCTCCACCCGTGAAAGAATTCAAGGAGAGCTCTGCAGCCGAGGCCTTCCGGTGCCGCAGCATCAGTGTGTCTGAACATGTGGTCCGCAGGTAGCGGGGCTGTGTTGGGCGGGGGGCACAGACCCAGAGCTTGGCCCCGTGAGCACCCGGGTGGCGGTGCATGGGGCTGCTTGCATGACCTCGTCGTCTGGCCGGCCCAAGGGAGCCCGGTGACGAGGGGTGGAAGGTTGCATTCTGTCCCCAGGCCCTGCATGAGCATGGGCTGGCTGCACAGCGCATCAGAGGCTTGTCTGGGATTCCAAGCTGATGCTGCTCTGAGAACTTTGGCTGTTTTGGGCAGCTGCCACAGGCTTGTTCCTGGAGGGCAGGGGCTTTTGCAAATGAAGCAGCACAGGTCTCCTGGGTTTGGCCTTTTCACATCCTCTAGAAAGGACTTTTTCTTCTTGGGCTCCCTTCTAGACAAGGGCTGTTTTCTGTTGTAGCTGAGCGGGAACAAGGGGCTTTTGTGTAGGGCACTGGGGTGGGGGCTAATCTGGGAGGCCTGGGCAGAGGCCAGGGCCCTCGAGGATGTGGGTCTGGGCCCCAGGCTGTGGCCAGGGTCAGTTTCCCTGTCTGGGTGCAGGTGTGGTTCTTGGGCAACCGTGTATTGGCCCTTGCCCACCTGTGGGTTTCCCTGCCGGCACGTGCAGAGGGGATACCTGTCTCCTCACCTGGAAGCCCTAGGACTCGGCGTCTCACAGTGAGGTCCATCTTCTCCCCTCAGCCAGCCTCTGTCATGTAGGACTTGGCCAGGAGGTAGGAGGAAGGAGTGCTCAGTGAGGCTCCTCTCTCAGCGTTTTTCTAGCAAAGTTCCTATCATGAGCAAAATATGGCAAAGGGGCTATGACATTTGTATCAGAAGGAAACTTGCGTAGGCTTTTCCCAGTCACCATGTGGTGTGGAGCTGGCCGGGCGCCAGGGAAGAGCCACGCAGAAGGCCAGAGCCTGTGTGTCCTCCACAGGACACAGCCCTGCGGGCAGAATGCAATCTCGGTCTGTCTGCCATGATCTCTCTGTCTCTGCATGACTAAACTCTCCTGCCGCAAGGCCATAACCTCGCGCTCCTGTGTGCTTCGGTGAGGGGGACGTCCTGTGTCTGGTCTCCCAGATCTCTGCTCCGACCAGTGGACCTGGTCTTTCCCATGTGGCGTCTCCGCTCTCTGGGACTATGTGGGCCATAGAATTTGTGAAGCCGTGGCTCTACCAGCCGCCACACCCTGGCGGGTTCTTTCCGTATGAGGTGCTCTCGGCCGTGCATGCATTGAGCTTTGGCCTCTTGGTGGTGGCTTGGCCTGCCTGCCTGGTGCCTGACCTGGTCATGGCCGCTCCCTCCAGCAGGATACAGACGTCTCTCACCAGTGCCAGCCTAGGGTCTGCGGATGAGAACTCTATGGCCCAGGCTGATGACAGCTTGAAGAATCTCCATCTGGAGCTCACAGAAACATGTCTGGACATGATGGCCCGATACGTGTTCTCCAACTTCACCGCAGTCCCCAAGAGGTGTGGACCTTACTCTGACGCAGGACTGGGAGGGACGGTGGGTACAGCTGGCCGACTATTGTCTTGTGGCTGCACCCTGTCCACGTGGTTGCTGCAAGTGCAGCCACAAGAACTTCCTTCCTGTGGGTTGGCCGGGGATGCGGCTGCCCAGGTTCCTGGGGTCAGGTGGTCTTCGGGTGCCGAGATGTCCTGTCTGGAGCCTCCACTGGGTGAGGGGAAGTGGACACTTCTTGTGCTTTCAGGTCTCCCGTGGGAGAGTTCCTCCTGGCAGGCGGCAGGACCAAAACCTGGCTGGTCGGGAACAAACTTGTCACAGTGACGACGAGTGTGGGAACTGGAACCCGGTCATTGCTGGGCCTGGACTTGGGGGAGCTGCAAGGTGGCCCAGAGTCGAGGTGACTGCACCTTTTCTGCCATGCCCACCTGGCCCCCACACTGGCTGTTCTGAGCCCGGGCCCACGTGGCACCGTGCCGGGCTGGCCAGGAACCCATAGGGACCTCGTTTACCCTGTGTGTGGGTCTTCTCAGCTCTGACCCTGGGGTGCACGCGAGACAGACCAAGGAGGCACCGGCCAAGCTGGAGTCCCAGGCTGGGCAGCAGACGTCGCGCGGGGTCCGGGACCGGGTCCGCTCCATGTCAGGTGAGCCTCCGCCCCAGCTTGCCTTCCACACAAGGGTCTGGGGCACGCTCAGCTGCCTCTTCCGGTCCTAGTGTCCAGGAAGCCCCTTGGAGACAAGGGATGGGTGGTTGGCCTCCAACCCGGCCCACTCTCTGTGGCTCTGAGGTGAGGGCTGTGTGACTGGCTGTCTCAGCCGTGTGGGGAGGTGGCGCCTCCGTGTAGCTGCGGAGCAGGCCTCTCGGCCACCAACGGCCTGTTTCCCCGGCTGCTTCCTGTGCGCCCTCAGCCCAGCTCAGCTTTGAGCTGCAGCTCGAATGAGCCGTCGTCTGACCCAGGAGAGTCCTGGAGCCCCTTGCTGCTGCCCTGGGTCCACGGAGGCCAGTGCTTTAGCGGGCTGTGCTCTGCAGGACTGAGCCGCCTCCTGCTCTTGCTCCCTCTGGCACCAGCGGTGTGCTTTGTGGCCTGCTGGGCCCGGTAGTGCAGCTAGCTATGGGTTGGCAACTTCGCAGTGGGCAGGTGGTAGTCACCAGCCCTTCCACCCTCCTCCTTTTCAGGGGGCCATGGGCTTCGAGTTGGCACCCTGGACGTGCCAGCATCCCACGTCCCAGGTGGTCCTACTCCTCCGGGACCACAGACTACACCGGCCACGAAGCCTGAGAAGGTCTCAGCGGGTGCCCGGATTCCAGCGCAGGAGAAGTCGAACTTGGCAGCCTATGTGCCCCTGCTGACTCAGGGCTGGGCAGAAATTCTGGTCCGGAGACCCACAGGTACCAGGAGGGCAGGCTGAGCTGGGCCTCTAGGCCTTGGCCCATACCCGTGTCCCCCAAAAGGTGGCCCTGTGCCCAGCTGGCCTGGGACCCTGTCACTGTGCAGCAGATGTGGGACAGTCTCCCACAGGGCTGTGGACACACAAAGGCACAAGCCATAGATTTGTCCCAAAGGTGTGTTTGGGAGGTGACTTTTAAGCTGTGTCTGGACATGAACAGTGAGGGGTTGATCCAGGTGTCTGAGGGAGGAGTGAGGCTGTGTCAGTTCTCAGGGAGAACTACAGACAGAGCGCTGCAGACCATGTGGCTTGCCACACTGCAGAGATTGGTCCTCCCAGTCTAGAGACTGGAGGTCTGAGGTCTAGGTCTCCGCAGGGCTGGTTCCTTCTGAGGCTTCCCTTCTCGGCTTGTCAGCAGCTTTTCCCTGTGTGTGTCTGAGTCCTGATCTCCTCCTACAAGGACACCAGTCTTGTGGGATGAGAGCCCACCACAGTGACTTCATACAACCTCTGCTACCTTTTTATGTTTTATTTATTTGCTTACTTTTGAGTAGGAGTCTCACTCTGTCACCCAGACTGGAGTGCAGTGACACGTTCATGGCCACTGCAGCCTCGACCTGCTGGGCTCCGGCGATCCTTCTACCTCAGCCTTCCAAGTAGCTATAACTATAGGCATGCGCCACCACACCCAGCTAGTTTTTTTTTGGTTTTTGGGTTTTTTTTTTTTTAAAGCAGGATTCATTGAGAGGACAGAAAAGCTCCCACAGTGGGAGGGGACCCAAAGGGGTTGCCTCCACCAGCTAATTTTTTGATTTATTGTGGAGACAAGCTCTTACCATGTGCCTAGGCTGGTCTCGAGCTCATGGACTCAAGCAGTCCTCTTGCCTTGGCCTCCCAAAGTACTGAGATTCAGGTGTGAGCCACCGCACCTGGCTAACTACCTTTTTAAAACCCAGTCTCCAAACATAGTCATATTCTGAGTGACTAGGTGTTAGGACTTCAGCACAGGAATTTGCAGGAGATGCAATTCAGCTCATGACTCGGGCATCTCAGGTGGAAGTATGGACTTCGCGGAGGCCCAAAGCCCAGGCAGTACCTTGGGTGCAGGGGACCAAGTGGTGAGAGAAAGATGGGGATGGGGGCTGCCCTCACGAAGACCTCGCTTCTGGGCTGTGAGCTGTGGCAGGAGACTGCTGCTTCATGGTGCCCTCCCCAAACCTGGCTGCGCCTGGCCGCCATGCAGGGGCCAACGGGCAGCTGGGTGTCTGGTGCCCATCACTGAGGCGGGACCACCAGGGCGGTGCTGGTTCTGACCTCATGGTACTGAGGGGCTTGGCAGGAGTGTCAGGGTAAAGCTGGGGTCTGGGCCTGCCCACCCTCCCAGCCCTGGTGCGTGCTGTTGCGGATGGGAGCCGGAGGGCCACCCTAGGGCCCCTGCGAGGAGGCTGGCCAGAGGCACCGGGTCTGAGGCTGAGGGCACTGCCAACCTTCCCAGGGAACACCAGCTGGCTGATGAGCCTGGAGAACCCACTCAGCCCCTTCTCCTCGGACATCAACAACATGCCCCTGCAGGAGCTGTCCAATGCCCTCATGGCAGCCGAGCGCTTCAAGGAGCACCGGGACACGGCCCTGTACAAGTCGCTGTCAGTGCCAGCAGCCAGCACGGCCAAGCCCCCTTCTCTGCCACGCTCTAACACAGGTGAGGGGGCGGGCCTGTGCTCACTGGTGATGGCAGTGTGTGCTCTGCGGACGGTGCCCATGTGGCCACGGCAGGGCCTCAAGCCTGGCTTGCACTGCCATCCCCCGGGTGTGGGCGGAGGCCTGCGCTCCGGGCCCTCTTTCTGGCCCGAGGGCCCCTCTTCTTTGGAGACTCAGTACTCGGCAGCCTGCGCGCAGGATGCCAGGGATGGTGTCCAACAGCTGGGCCCTGTCAGATCTCTACCCAGCCCCTCAGTGGGGACCGTGGACTCCAGGAGGAAC